ATGCCACTTCTCTCTGCGATGAAAACTGTTTGCTTATAGCCTTGGGACATTGCATGACAGCGAGGGAGATTGGACTTCCATGTTAGTCATACTGAGACGGCTGCTGCGTAATTTATTTTAGCTCTCTGTTGCCTCTGCTGAATCACCTCCAAAGTGAGAAAAATATTTATTCTATTAATATAAAATATTGTCAACTTATTAAACAGATGAGTCTGTAATGGACAGACGGTGACAGCCTATTAGGAGTTGTTGATATATGGCAGCAATAATACAGAAATCACCTGAAGTGTTCCTCCTGGGAGTTAAATTTCTAAATTAGAGGAATCAATAAAAATTAATGGCAATATTTCAATGCACGTAAAAGCACATCCACTGCTACAACCATACCCTACACATGTTTTCCTGTCTGGCAAGCATCGCTCCAGCCCTGGAATCAAACCCCGCTGAGAGAGGGCCGCCGGGCCGCCACGCAGGGCTCTGACAGAATGCTTTGTGTGAATCTGTCCGCCTGGCTAAAGGATGGCACATACATGCCACACCTACACACAGATCTCAAAACCACGTCTAAATGTGTGATGCCTTTTTTTCCATACTGGAACGGAAAAATCTAGGGAAGTATTTGAACAAGTTGTTTATCCTTCCCCCATCCCTCCTTGCTTTCCTTTCTTGTTTTCCGTCACTGGGCACACCTTGCTTTCAAGTGCACACCCTATTCCAGGAGCTGTTTTGTGGGCTCACATCGACGAGGCCCTGGGCTTACAGAGCTGGTTTCATACAAGGAGCAGAAGAGCAAAGAAAAGGCACAGAGATTCGTCCACTCCACGAGATGGTGTTGACTGCCGTTAAAAGCTAATTAAGTTGGTACCATAATGGTTTCCTGGAACGGGCAATGGCTAGGTGGCATCTTCCTGCTGGGTGCTCAGGAGAATCTTCTCTGATGAAGGAAGTGACGAGGCATCCCTAGAGGAAGCGGGGGAAGACTTCTGGGAACGGGCAGTCCCGCAGGTGGAAAAGTGGGGAGTGAGCCTGGAGCCCAGTGGATCTGTAGCAGAGTGATGGGGCCATTTTGTAATTTTATCTTATGATTCAGCTTACCAATCAGTGAACATAAATGTGTACTAGTTATTGACCACAAGCTTTCTTTCTCAGCTATTTTGGGAAGAGCGTGCACTTTGGGGTCAGAAAATCGAGGTTTTGAATCTTGGCTGGGCGTCCTGTAGCTGGGTGGAACCATCAGAGCCTAAGTCTTTCATCTTTCAAGTCCGGATGTTATTTTTCAAAATCGTTACACATCTCCTAACATAGTGCCTGGCACATACGAGCCCCTCCCACTGCCGCTGTTACTTTCACATCCGTGCGTTCCCGTGTTTGAAGGGCGATGGGCTAGTCTGTCCACACGGGCAGCTTCCCACTAGCTCACTGGACTGTTGCTGGTCCACTCACCGACAGTGAGCATGAACAAGAAACAGGGTGCTTGTCACTTCTGCTTTGGCAGGTTGGACAATGACAAGGGTCAGGGCACAGGGGTGATCACGGACAGGGTGCCCCCTCTAAACTATCAATGAGCAGGGTTTCGGACATCGGCAGCCTGAGGATGGGAAGATCCAAGGTAAAACTGGAGTTTTCCCAGCCTTCCCGGGGCTTCCCTCACTAATGTATGTGTGCTTTGTAGGAAGAAAAGAGCCGTGGAGGCAATTGCTGCGTTATTGGAAGAGAACAGGCTTCAGAGTTATTGAATCACGTTTAATACTGAAGAATTCGCTCGTTGGCTCTACGTTCTCCCTCTAAACATTCAGTCAAACAAAGCGAGTGAGAAGCAGAGCAATGCGCAGACGCGCTACCGTTAAGAACGATGGTAAGACGCGCATCTGGAGAGAGCGCTAAGCAGAGGGAGGAGGCGAGGAGTGTGACAGAGGATATTACTATTAATAAAGCAGTACCTGCCTCCGGACAGGTTTCCACTGTAAGGTGTGCATACACATTTCACGCCTCAGAGCAGCGCTATTTTTAGAACACCAGAAAGCACTACCTGTGTTGGTGACTTGTGCTTATTAATGGAACATCCATCAATCTCCACATGGCTTTCTGCTATACTACTTACTTGTGCTTTTCTCAGGGAATTCGTGAATAGAATGCGATATTCTGCTTTTTCACTTTTTTTCTTCTTACTGTGCCCTCTTTTCACTGTTGATGAAATAAAAATGCCTTGGCTCATGCAGCTGAACGTGCTGAGAAAATAGGGCAGCTTTTGTTACCTTTTTCTACCTGTAGCTGGATGCCGATGAGGGGCCAGCCAGGAAGGCGTGAAACGGTAGTGTGCAGAACCAAATTCAAAATCGTTCCTAAAAATCGATTCGCATGTTGTAGCAGAATGAAAGCTTTCATGCACACAGAGAGACAGAGTCTATGAAATGGGATATTAAAAGAGCACAGTGGAAAAAGGAAACCAAGATAAAAGAAATGGAAAGAGGAAAATATATTTTAACAGCAGGAAGTGACTTGGAGGGGAAAGAAAGCATAAAAGTATAGTGTGGAAAGACCGGCGGGAGAACTGAAAGTCAAATAATGACAAAAATTAAAAAGTGGGCCTCCAGAAAGTTGGAAAATACATAAAAGTGAGCTAAAGGATCTTCCAATTATAAATTTGTTTCAATGCCCAAAGATTGCTGGAGTTTAACAATGGCAGGATAGTCTTTCTTAGTTGCATTTTTCTTTTCATTTGTTAAATTTAGAAGTGTAACATTTTCCACGCAGCCAACAATTGTACGCCCCACAGAAACCAGTGCATGGTTCGCACAGCAGGCTCCGCTTGGCTTCGCCTGTTCAGGTCCTTTGTACTGTGCATGTTCTATTGGCTGAGCGGGCTTCTACTTATTTTTTTCTTTCTTTTCTTTGTAATTGCTACCTGGGCTCTTGGAAGTGCAATAATTAAGATTGGCACAAAAGTGAAAAATAAGGGCACACTGCTTTCTTCTAAGTACCACGTGACGCAGCCGCCCTTCTAGCTTTCTGCATCTCAGCATCTAACGCTCCACAGCTGGGTTTGCGGGTTGTTGGTGGTGTTTTTTTTTTTGTTGTTGTTTTTTTTAACTGCCTTACTTCGGAGTCTGTTGCTGATACATAAACATATAAAAGCAGATTATAATAATACAGATAAAACGGTAAGTATTAACCTGGAACATTTACAAGGTAAACTTCGTAGAGCTATCTTAACAGACGGAATGTGAGGTCCAAAATATAAACCTGCTAGTCCGCCTCCCCTCCCCCGCCCCACGCGCATACCGTCACTGTGGCGATAGAACTGTGTCATTTGGCAAAGGGATTCCGAAAGGTCATGAGGAAGACACACACACCACTCTAGAGCTACAGTAAATGTGGAAAAAGTATTAGTGTCCTAGGTGTAAAAGCTGTTAAAGCATCTCAACAAAATGCAGTCGGTTGCACTGCAGAGCGGAGTTTGACAAGCGCAGGGAGAAAACGCAAGGGGTGTGAAGCCTTCGAAGGGCGTCAGAGCCAGCCTGGCGGGGCCAGGGACCTGGGGGGGGGGACGGGTGGTTTGCGGAGGCTGGAGGAGCAGGCAGGGTGTGGGACGCAGAGCCAGAGGGCGTGCCTGCTGTCTTCCCACTGTGCCGCTTCAGGTTTAGCCGCTCATCCTGTGTTAACTAGCAGCAGCTTTCGGCTGCTCGCGTGTTGTAGTTCCGACTGTCTGTCCAGACCCCCAGTGCACGCCCTCACTGACGTGTGTCGGATTCCTAGTCTTCTGGACGCACCCGACATTCCTCCCGGTCCCCTGCCGACGCTGTTCGGCTTGCTCCGGCTTCTTTCCTTCCCGGAGCGGGGAGCAAACGCACAGAGAGGCTTTGTTCGATTTCATTGTTTCCCTTCAGCCCTCCGGGAATGCGTGTATCCGAGCATTTCCAAATCCCTAAGTGGCTTGATCCCAGAGTCTCAAGCTGTATCACTCCATCCATCAGCGGGTTCCTCCAGGGACACTAGGGGACTCCTACAGGCGTGGGCGCCGTGAAGGGCTCCCCACGCCCTCGGACGGGGTGCGCTCGGGTCTGTCTGGAGCCTGCTCAGCTCCTGGGACAGACGGAACTAGGGGTCCTGCATCCATAGCAAGGCTCTCGGGGGAAGCACGTGTTGATGCTGAAAACCAGCGGTGGACTCTCGGGGTCGCCGACGCCTGTGGGCCCCTCCTGGGAGCAGCCTCAGGGCGGGCACACGGCGCCTGGGAGCGCGCAGCGCCGGGAGGAGCAGCGACAGTCCTGGACCCGCATGTGGTCCTCGACGTGGCCCGCCAGCAACCCCAGCCCCCCTTCAACGGCGTCCGTCCTGCGGCTGCCTTCTTTTTCAGGATCAGGGAAACACCTCCCAGGCTTGCAGATGGCAAGGGGAAAAGAGAAGGGGCTTGCCTGGGGCTGGAGCGGGGATTCCCTCTGTGCAGACGGGCGTTTTGCAGCCCGCCTACCCCACTGAAGGCGGGCCAAGCCCGGGGGCGTGGGAGCACCTGGGACGCTCCCGGCCTCCTGCCGCCCCTGTCCGCGGAGGGTCTGGAGCCGCGAGCCCGCTAATTAAGCGCGCCCCCATTGGTCCTCCCCGAGGCCCCTCCGTGCGTCACACCGTGTTATGCAAATGAGGGGGCGTCTCAGACCTCGGAAGGCGTGGCCGCGGCGGAGTCGGGGACCCAGGCCCAGGGACCTGAGCGCCCGGTGCACCTGCTGCCTGTCGGGGTCGCGCTTCAGCATCCCCGGGCACGCACTCCCACCAAGTCCCCTCTTTCCAGGCACCGCGCCCCCGCCTCCCCCTCCCCAAAGAAGTTACTTTTGCATTCCCGCCTCCCCCGAGTCCTGGGGAACCAGAGGCGGTGCCGAGCCCGGGGGCGGTTCCTTGGCAGCGGAGATTCTGGTCGGAGCCAGACTTTTGCTCCTGGGCTGGGTTTGCATCATCCCCATCCTACTCCGGAGGGAGAGAGGGGCCAGCCCCCTGCAGCCTGGGCTTCCGGCTCCAAGCGGACCCTCCCCCCTCCAGGCCCCTTACCCCTTTCTGTCCCCTGCCCAGGCCACCGCGCCTCCGTCGTCCCTCCCCGGGGCTCCGAAACACTCCCCGTCTGCCTCCCTCCTCGCCTCGGCGGTCCGTGCCCCCCGCTCTTGGAGGAGGGATGGTCGATTTGGAGAGCGAAGTGCCCCCTCTGCCTCCCAGGTACCGGTTCCGGGATCTGCTGCTGGGGGACCAAGGATGGCAGAACGACGACAGGTGAGTGATGCGGGGCGGGGGCCCCTCGGTTTGGCTGGAGCCGAGACAGGCGGGCAGCCTGGGGGGAGGCGGGAGGGGAGGCCCCGGAGCCCGCAGCGGGGAGCCCGCACAAGGGACGCTGGTCTGTCTCTCCATTTTGACTCCATGGAAACATTGCCACAGACAAGGATCTCCTTCCCTTCCCACCTCCCTGTCCCTGCTGTGGATTTACTCCTTTCTGTGATGCTCATTCTTGTCCGCGTGTTTTTCCCCAGGGCGTGTGTGAGGCTGGTAGCCGAGGTACGAAACGCCCGAGTGGCACGCGAGATGGGTGCCGGGGTTCCCTTTTGCCCCCTTAGGTGCTGGCAATCGCGGTCGCACATGTATTCGGGTTGGCTGAGCGGGCGGAGGAGAAACTTCAATCTCCTGAGCCCCCGCAGCCAGGCAGCGTGGTCCTGATCTGGGGTCGCCGCCACCGGGCATTTTATGCGCTGTGAACATTTAGTGCTGCAGGTAGACAGTTGATTTAAATAACGTAACAGGTGGTTCGTGAACATGACAACCTTTGCCGTTGAAAAGACTCACTTTGACCAGGCATCTGTGACTGTTATTAATAGTAGTAATGGTGGTGTTTGTAGGGAATGATCCGATCTTTTCATAATCGAGGTTTTTTGTTGTTGGTTTTTTTTTTTTTTTTTAGCTAAATAGTATATATGTGTCACAAAATTAAGACATGTTTCAAAACTGGAATATTCATTATTAGCAAAACATTGCTCATGTGATTTTTCTATAGCATCGTTGCTTTGCTGAAACTTCTGAAATCCCTCTGGCTAGCTCTGTCTCGTGATTTAAAGAACATATTTTATGTTTCATTGAATTCAGTATTTTCTGGCATCGTCATTTCATGTAGCACATGCCACACTTCCGCGTTTTGAAATAATATGCGAACGAGGCTCTCAATTCAATTGAAATGTTCCCTTGAAGTTCACTTTGCTATTGACGCTGCATTTTAATTACATGAAAGATCCATTACTGGTCTGATTAAAAAAATCTCTTCACTCAACCTTGGGCAGTCCCATCCCTCCTTTCCTCTCAGCCCCCAATATCAACTCCTGTTCCTCCTCACGGGGGGGTTATATCTTAGGCATCAGTGGCTGACTTCTTGTTTGGTCTCATATCAGTCATTTAAAGGGTTATGGGTGCTTTGCAGAGGGTAGGAGCTCAACTCAATCTCTTCTTTTTAGGCAAAGACACATATTGGTTTAGGATTAAAAGAATGGATACCACTTTACCAGGAGGCTTGGGAAGTAAGGTGTGAAGGTAGAAAGAACAGAAAGAAAAGAATATTTAAATGCACGTTCAGTGCCGGTGAGCACTGAGATGAATTGTATCTACCTGGTTAAGCAGCTCCTCAACGTCAGTGCTCATGGTGATGCGCTCTGTCTTCCTTACTGGAGGATGGGAGGTTCTTCACGTGGAATAGAAACCCTCTCTTCTGTGTAGAAAGTTTGGGGTTGGCTCAGTACATACAGGGGACTTGGTGATGGTGGCGTTGTTTGCTTTTTAATGTTGTATCCAAGGTGTTAATCGTCTATGTGGTTGCTGTCAGTTTTCTGAGGATGCTGCGGATGGCTGCCAGTTACTGAGAATTTGGTTAGCTGGATGCTGCCTAGAAGAGCCGCTGCTATTTTGGAAAAAAAAAGTTCTGCACATTTACTTATGATATCTATTATAATAAAGGTTATGCTGGCCCAACTTCATCTTTAAAAATGGCCATGTTTACTCTCAACGTGAAGTATTAAAAAATGTTGCTCATCTATTCTTAAAGATTTGGCTAATTTTGTGGCTTCATGAAAACTTAATATTTATATAGTGTTGGGCCATTTGTTGTCCATCTTTGACGATAAGATCCTTTGAGGGATAGGGATCCAGGACCTCTGCTTATTTCTTCGCCAGCTGAGTGACTTTGGGCAAATCATTCAGCCATGAAGAGATTCAGTAATTGAACTTCTTTACGGTACAAAACTATCTGCGAGTCAGCACTACGTCCTGGCGGGTGCTGTGTGTTATATATTTACATCTATATCTGCACACGTGTGTATGTATGTGTGTGTATATGTAAATATGTATGCATGATAACTTATGTTATACATTGTCTCAATCTTCAGCACTCTGAATAGTGGGTAATTCTTTTAAGGAATGAGACGTTAAATTTCCAAGAAATGAAGTACTTCTCGTTGTACTGTATCATATAAATGTAAAGATGACACTTGGGCTCAGTTCTTTGCCACTCAAATTCCTCAAGAAGCTCCGAAGTTCTTCCCACGGAAGGAATTAGAATCGGTAAGAATTATTTGTCAGTACTGAGCGTGGCTTAGTTGCTCATGAAATGTTGGTTCCCTTCTGAGTTGCAGTTTGCAAGTCTCTCTTAGTTTTCTTCACAATCCAAAATTGATATGCAGTAAGCAGAGCCATCTCCTTTGTCCGCGCGGTGGCCACAGCGCCCCTTTGCCCTGAAGTCCCAGGAGCCAGTGGGTGTGCTCAGCCCCCTTTGGGGCCTCCATTCCCAGAGTTGAGGGGAGGTTCTTCGTGGAGGAGCTGGTAGACAGAGCAGGTGGCTTGGGTGCTGGTTTCTAGACACACCCTCTGCCTGAGACTTTTGTTTTCGTCTTTTTCTTCCCTGGCCTTGGGGGCGCCCGGAAGTGCCTGCGGACCAGCAGGAGTGTGACCGCAGCTTCTAGCGCCCGGCTGGCAGAACTGGGAAGCCACTCTGCACGGTCCGGTGGGGCTGAGCTCCCCCTCGCCCACGGTGCCGACCGGCTTGATGCTGTGAACGTTCTTGGCTTCCTCTCCCCTGTTCCCGTGCTGGTGTTTTCTGGGTCACTTCCCAGATCCTCGCCAGTCCTCGCCAGATCTGCTCCTGGGAGAATCTGAACCGAGGTGGCGTTGTCTCTAGCATCTCGTTCTGGAGATGACGGTGGGAGAGATGACGGGAAGCGGACCGTTCTGCCTTGCTTTTCACGTTAAGGGTTTTCCAATTAGTCTCCGTCCAGCCCGGGTGACCAGCACAGCAAACGAGGGAGGCCTTTGACTGATGGGTGAAGGGTGTTGTTAAAGGGAGAACCTCAGTGGGTGGCTTCTCAGGACACAGAAAGCGTGCACTCCACACCGGTGACCCTTAGTGAGCTAACCTGGCGTAGACGGTTCACTGAAGCTTCCTCTGTACCACCGCTCGGTAGGGAGACGCCCACTCGCAGTGCACAGGTATCTGGACAGTCACATGCTGAATAATAACTAACATTTTGGTCAACCCCAGACCGCATACCTACGGCGGTCCCATGAGATTGTAATGGAGCAGAAGAACGCTATCATCTAGGGACGCAGAGTCGTCAGAATGTCCCCGCACAGCGCACGTGGCCCGCTGCGCTGCCCGGGGTGCAGAGCGCAGCGCCGCTTGCCGTCGGGTACAGCCCGTGATACTTGATAACGGCCAGGAGCCACTACGTTCCTGGTTTGTGCATTTGCTCTGCTGTACTTTTGATCGCTACTTTAGGGGGTCCTTCTTTTCCTTAAAAACGCTGGCTGTGAAAGGCTGCTGTGTGCTGCCAGCAGCAGCCTCCTGCGTCTTGCGTGTACGGAGTCTCTAGATGATCCGTCAGTTCCCCGGGGCTCGGTTTACTCTCACGCTGCTGGCACTGTGACCTGCTGCGCCGGCGTGCAGCCGGGGCCCAGGCCAGACGGTCTAGGTGCGTGGAAGCGCAGCTGCGATGTTCACACAACGACAAAACTGCCTAACGGGACGCATTCCCCAGAAAGTATATCCTTTATGATGTGGGTGTGACTATATATAATGTATATATAATAGACATATACTCTCTATGAAATACAGCATGCCTGTGTCATATATGCGTAACGTATGTATCGGTGCCATCCTTACCTAATTACCTCTCCTTTGTGTGTATTCTGACGTGTGTTTCTGAGTAGGACAAGGAAACAGATATAGCGTGCAGGTACTTTAAGCGCACGAGTGACATTAGTTCTGGGAGCCATGAAATAAACTCGAGAGTGGCTATATAACAGCGGCGCTCATGCCTTAGGGACATCTTCTGTATGTGCGATGCACGTTTATTTCTTTGGTATCCTGAATAAAACACACAAATCTAATTTAAATGGTTGGCACAATAGTTCTTTAATGGTCGTTTATTCCTTCAGCTAATGTTTGAATGTATGGTACATTGCAGGCCCTTATTGAGTTAGGTTTTGGGAAAAAATATATATGAAAGCATATGAGACAGTGCTTGCTCAGGAGGTGTATACACAGATAATTAAAGGTGAATTTCCCCCCAGAATATTGATGGGACTATGTGATGGGGATGCCTTTGCAAAATTTCCATTTTAAAACTGTCCAAAAGATCATGAACTATTGTAAATTGGATAGTCAGTGTTTGCTTGAACATATAGTAGCGATCAAAGTATTCGATATATTTTGATCCTAATATTTAGAATAGTTAGTCCCTCCAATGTTACTCTTTGACTGAAGCTCGTTGACGAGCGATGGAATGAACTGGTTGTGTGCGGAAGCCGTTCTGTAATATGAAGAATTGCTTTTGTGTTCGACTCTAGTGAGGCTGAGCTCTCATTGCCCGCTGTGCAACAGGCGTCTGTTTGAATATTTCTAAGTTTCATAAAACCATAAAGATGTAGACTCTTCTCCAGAAGTTAAACATGGTAACTGTCAGGTTTTAACTCCCTTCAGATAGTTAGAACAAGGCTTTCACATCCCCCATCAACATTTAGACATTTTAAAGTTTGGAACACAATGTACTTGATGTGGATAAATTATCACAACTGTGGATAAATTACTGTTAATGGACAGTTCTCAGTTGCAGTCATGCAGAAGTAGGCCATTTATTTAATTAACACCATTCTAGTTTTTAAGTATCTGTTCAGTCATTTCAACTCCATTAATTTTAAATATATCTTTCATAATTTATAGGTTGCATTTAGAAGCAATGCATGTC